CCCCCTGGGGCAACTACCGACACACTAATACCCCCTGGGGCAACTACCGACACACTAATACCCCCCTGGGGGCAACTACCGACACACTAATACCCCCCCTGGGGGCAAGTACCGACACACTAATACCCCCCTGGGGGCAAGTACCGACACACTAATACCCCCCTGGGGGCAACTACCGACACACTAATACCCCCCTGGGGGCAACTACTGACACACTAATACCCCCTGGGGGCAACTACTGACACACTAATACCCCCTGGGGGCAACTACTGACACACTAATACCCCCTGGGGGCAACTACTGACACACTAATACCCCCTGGGGGCAACTACCGACACACTAATACCCCCCCCTGGGGGTAACTGCTGACCCACTAATAACTGCTGACCCACTAATAACTACTGAACCCACTAATGCCCCCCTCTGGGGGTAACTACTGAACCCACTAATGCCCCCCTCTGGGGGTAACTACTGAACCCACTAATGCCCCCCTCTGGGGGTAACTACTGAACCCACTAATGCCCCCCTCTGGGGGTAACTACTGAACCCACTAATGCCCCCCTCTGGTGGTAACTATTGACCCACTAATACCCCCCTCTGGGGGTAAATACTGAACCCACTAATGCCCCACTCTGGGGGTAACTACTGAGCCCACTAATGCCCCACTCTGGGGGTAACTACTGAGCCCACTAATGCCCCACTCTGGGGGTAACTACTGAGCCCACTAATGCCCCACTCTGGGGGTAACTACTGAGCCCACTAATGCCCCACTCTGGGGGTAACTACTGAGCCCACTAATACCCCACTCTGGGAGGTAACCACTGAGCCCACTAATATCCCACTGTGGGAGGTAACCACTGAGCCCACTAATACCACACTCTGGGAGGTCACCACTGAGCCCACTAATTCCCCCCTCTGGGGGTAACTACTGACCCACTAATACCCCAATCTGGGAGGTAACCACTGAGCCCACTAATACCACATGATTAACGGCTGGGCCCCTATACATCCCCTGTTTAGGTAATTAAATTCTATGTGAGGTATCACTCACAAACTCTCCAGTAGGAATTAGGGCTGCCAGACACCATTATTTGCTAGAGACATGTTTCCATATGGCCAGGACATGACCGTTCTCCCCTTGCACCACGTAGCCTACTTACAATGTAATTAAGATGGATCCTAGTGGAGCTACCATTGGTTGCTTTCCCCCCTGCAGCATATAAATGCGATCTCCTACGCAGGGCTCGACCAATTCCGGGCACCTGGCCGCCATGACTACTCACAGTTGTGTCCTTATGCCTGGGTGTTTGTTAGACTGTACAGTATTGGTCACCTTAGGGCCCCTTGAAGTGGGCGGCAAGAGAGCTGTAATCTTCCTGCTCTGCTTCCTTGGGCGCTGCAGTGATGCTGGAAGCCGGGATACGACATTACTCTAACTTTGGTATATATAAACAGCGCATGAGGGAGCA